TATAAATACTCATTAACAGTATGATTTTTGGAGTGTAGGAGTACACTTGCATTAGCCTTAAAGCAGTGTTGCTATTGTTAACTAAAACTAAAATTATTAAAAATCGATTTCAGTAATTGAAATAAAGCTGAAATCAAATCAAATCAAATAAAAAACATAAACATTAAATTAAATTTAAATTTAAAAAAATATTTCTTGGCAACTAACTGAAAAAAAAGTTTAAGTTGAAGTACTAAAACTAAAAACTGAATTAAAAATAAATTAAAGCTAAGAAGAAATATTAAAAAAAAACAGAAACTAATAAAAATGACATGCTAATAATGCTAATAATTACTAAGACTAAAATGAAAACTAAAAAGAAATAAATTAAAGATAAATATAAATATATAAGACAATGACAAAAGCACATAACAAAATTACTAAATAAACTAAAATTGTAAATGAAAATGAAACACCAGAATAAAAATAAAGTTAAATAGAAATATTTAAAAAAGCGAAACATACTAAAAATGACAAAGCACATAGCAAAATTGCTAAAACTAAAATGAATATATATATATATATATATATATACATATTACAGTATATAATATAATAGTATATACATAATACTAAAATAGCACTGCCTCAAAACTTACACAGTGTAAAAATTTTTACTCTAAATTAAAACTATGTGGGAAAGAACAAGAAGGGGTTAATCGGCCTCACGCTGTCTTGGTGCTGGAAATGGAATCAAGCATCAAAGGAGCATGTGAACTGCAGTAATGTTTTTGTTGTTGCCTGCTACTGTATGTATCCAAACACTACAGGTGCTATCAGCCAAAGGTTTGATCCATGCGGAACGTTTTGGCCACATCGAGCATTTCATCACTTAATACAAACTTAAATGGGCTATACTTATCATCATGCCTCGTGGTGCAAACATGCTCTTTCTAAATGGCTTTTGTAAATGTTTTGACATTCGAGAGAAGCTTTGAGCTCCAATAATATTTTAAACCTGCATGTTTAAACATGACTCAGCATTTACACCGCACACTCTTGACATTAAAAACATGTTCAGACAAATAAAGCAGCAACAGCCTCTTGGTAGGACTTTATAAAAGGCTTTTAGAGAAAGTTAGTAACTCAAAAACCTTGATTTGCATTTGAATTTAGTCCTGTTTTGCAATGTTTTATCAGTCTAAAACACAGAACCGAGGATGGAGAGAGAAGAATAACATACCTCCAGCTGAATCCACAGTTGGCCTGTAGTTCCTTCAGTGTGTGTAGACTAACAGAACAGCTCAGCCCTCCTCAAACAGCAGAGGTTTACCCTCAACTGCCCCCCTGCTGAAGAAAACCACAAAGAACCGTTAGCAAAACACAAACAGAGCAAGAAAGACAGATAAAGAGCTGGAGATAAGAACAAAAGACACTAAAATCACGCCTGCCTTGCATTTGTTTCTCGCGTTCTTTCTTGAAGCAGAGCAGCAGAATCCAGCAGAGTGAGGGAAAAGACATGAAAAAGGGCAGGAAAAGTTCAATCTCCTCACACAGGAAATGTGCAGACCAGTTCCAAAGGTTTCTACTTCTTACAAACCCAGATGTTCTTATTCCCCCGAAGATGGAAAGACCCTCCTGCTCTGAAAAAAAAAACCTAAGAAGGTTAGATGAAAAAGTATGGAAGCCTGTTTCCGCCACTGAATAAAAAAGGTTATTGTGACTTTTTTCTTGGAATTGTGAGATATAAACTCGTAACTGCAAGTTATAAAATCTGAATTGTGTTATATAAACTTGCAATTCTGATTTTTTCAGAATTGCGAGTTTTTATCTCACAACTCAGAGAAAAAAAGTCAGAATTTATATCTCACAACTCCGAGAAAAAAAGTCAGAATTTATATCTCACAACTCAGAGAAAAAAAGTCAGAATTGCGAGTTTTTATCTCACAACTCCGAGAAAAAAAGTCAGAATTGCGAGTTTTTATCTCACAACTCCGAGAAAAAAAGTCAGAATTGCGAGTTTTTCAATTCTGACTTTATAAATCGCAATATCTCGCAATTGTGACTTTATATCATACTATTGCGACTTTATATTACGCAATTCTGACTTTAGAACTCGCAATTGCAAGTTTATGTCACAATTCTGTTAATAAAAATCTGAATTGCGAGTTTGTATCACACAATTCTGAGAAAATTGTGAGATAAAAAGTCGCAATAACCTTTTAAAAAAAATTTTATTCAGTGGTGGAAACAGGCTTCCATAAAAAAGACTGGTTTATGAGTTGAGAAAGTGAAATTAGTAACAGCTTTGAGTAAGTTTTCAATTTTTCTCTTAGGCAACCCTGTTCGCTTTGATCTTTTACGGCCTTTGTGAAAGGAAATGGAAGTTGCGTTTTGTTGGCTAACCTTAACAAAAAGGTGTTTTGACAAACTGTAGCACATCCGCACTCACATGATTCACAAACACAGTCTAGCCGCCGCATACACCTTCCTCTTGCCCTAGGCTGACCCGCGGTACAAAGACATGCCTCTCCCCTGCTGTGCAACTCCGTTCAACCCAAGACTGAGAAATGTGGGCCGGTCACTCTTGTCCACCCTCTGCTGCCTCTGCATGGGGGTGAGAAACTCAGTTGCTATGCCAGAAGTCATTATAAAGGAAACTATAGTAAGGGACTGGTTATGCAATTAGAGGTTGGAGTCATCCAGTAAAATTTTAGCAAAAATATCAAAGAAAAAAATAAGTATACAAATAAGGGAACAAAATGTGAATAAATAAATGTAATAAAATACAACGAAATGTGTATAATAATAAATAAATACAGAAATTTGAGAATAAACACTAACAATAAACATTTATAGAGATTTATACAGAAATTTTGAACAATGAGAAAAATCAATTAAAAGTAGATGCTGAACATTTTGCAAAATTACAAAAACTATTAAAATTATGTGCACTATCGTACAAAAGTTTGGGGTCAGCAAGATTTTGAAAAAAGAAATTATACTTTTATTTAGCAAGAAAGCATTAAATTGAACAAAAATGACAGTAAATACATTTATATTACTAAAAAAAACTTTTGAGCTTTCTATTTATTAAAGAATCCTGAAAAAATGTTGCATGGTTTCCACAAAAAATATTAAGCACCACGACTGTTTTCTACATTGATATTAATAAGTATAATAAATGTTTCTTGAGCAGAAAATCTGCATACTAGAATGATTTCTGAAGGATCATATGACACTAAAGACTGGAGTAATGATGCTGAAAATTGAGATTTGTATCAAAATACAAAACAGTTATTTAAAATTGTAATAATATTTCCCAATAATACTGTATTTTTGATTTAAAAAATGCAGCTATGGTTAGTACAAGACTTAAAGAAGCAAAAACATAAAAAAAACCTTCCAGCCCCAAACTTTTAAACAACAGTGTAAAATTGGAAATAAATCTAGAAAAAATGCTAATAAATAAATAAATGTGATATAAATTTTAGAAATGTACATAAATTCTAGATAAAGGGGGAAGTTTATTTAAAATCAATTTATTTGCATGTTTGGGGGAAAAATATTTAAATCTTGCTTAAAGTTTATTTCATATTTTCCCTTGAACAGCTGAACCTTTTTTGGAAACTTGATAAGGAGCCCTATCTATTTTGACACAGTCAAGATGACAAAACTACCAGAAAATGGTAAATAACTAAAACATGCTGATGTTTATATTAGTCTAGCAAGACTGATTTCTCCCAATATCTCCTTCAGTTCTTAACCTACTTTTCCTGTTTTCTTTAGACGTTTACGAGATCCGGCAGTGACTGTAGGAGAGCTTACATTCTCATACATATATCAAAGTCTCCGGAGAGCTGAAGTGGTATAACACATGCTGTAATGAAAATACAACTTGTTGTCCTGCCCTAGTTTGAGCCATGCATTTCCTGCTTAATGACGGCACCCCCCTCACTTGCTGGATTCCTTTGAGTAGGCCTAATTTTTGCTCTTTTTTTTTTTTTTGGCAGGACAAACTAGTAAATATCCTTTGAGGATTTTAAAATGAAAATTACATATAAAATATGGTGATTTTCAATTTCTAACTTCCTGTCTTTCTCTGACTGTGTGAGCAGTTGATTAACAGATCTGAGGCCGCATGCAGACAGAGCTGATGGCGCCGACACGCCGCTTCTAATTAATCCAATGCTGCATCCAATCAAGAATGTGTTGAGGCATGTTTAACGAGACCATGACACAAATCGCGGTCACTAGTTTCCAGCTCAGCCCGAGCTGCTGGCTGAAAATACCCTGTCTTCTTGCTTAAAGATACACTACCAGTCAAAAGTTTTTGAACAGTAAGATTTTTTATGTTTTTTAAGGAATTCTCTTCTGCTCACCAAGCCTGCATTTATTTGATCCAAAATACAGCAAAAACAGTAAAACTCTGAAATATTGAGCAACTGGTGCGCCCCTGGGAGTTGGTGCCCTACGCAAACTGCGTACTCTGGGTATAGGGAGCGGCGGTACTGACCACAGTTCTGAAGCTCAAAGAAGGTCCTGTTTGGCTTACTATTGTGTGTTGTCTTGTTACTGTAACCATATACAAGATATTTGTGATTCAGTTTCCTATGTCAGTCAGTCAGAACACATCACCAGATGTTTTAGTTTAATTGTGCTAAGAATTTAATATTGTGTAATACCGTGAAATATTTTTACCATTTAATATAACTGTTTTCTATTTGAATATATTTTAAGATGTAATTTATTCCTGTGATTTGAAGCTGAATTTTTAGCATCATTACTCCAGTCACATGATCCTTCAGAAATCATTCTAATAGTCTGATTTCTAAAATTTATATCACAATTATTATAATTTTTTTTTTAGCATTTATGCAGGTTTCTTTGATTAATAGAAAATTCAGAAGAACAGCATTTATCTGAAATAGAAATCTTTTGTAACATTATAAATGTCTTTATCATCACTTTTGATCAATTTAAAGCATCCTTGCTAAATAACAGTATTTTTTAAATCTTTTTAATCCAATTTAAAAAAATTTTTTTTTTTTTTCCCCACATGAATAACTAGGTCCAAATGGAATCTGCAGCAGTGCATTTATTGTTAAATATTTGTTTTTAAAAATCAGTAATTGAAATAAAGCTGAAATAAAATAAAATATAAATTAGATGAAAAATTTAAACCTAATAAAAATGAGAAATATTCCTTTGGCAACTAACTGAAATACTTTTAAGTACTAAAATCACTCGATCTAAAACTGAAATAAATATTAAACTACATAAATAAATCAATAACAATATATTAAATTAAACTATAACAAATAAATAACATTATATAAATAATATTAAAACAACACTTCACTTTTACCCACAACTTTTCTGAGCTAATTTTGGGTGAATTTATTTATTTTTGTTATTACTGTAGCTTAATTAGTAGCTGAAATCACAATTGCATTCACAAAAATAATTGAAATACAAAATTGCAAGTAAAACTTCACAAATGATTGGTGTTTCAAATCTGCAAAATGTTGTGAGAATATTATATGGACTTAGTAATAGAAAGTGGACCCTAATAGTTGTTAGTATTGGTGTACAACTAAAAACAAGCTCTGAATATGTACTAAATCCTTTTAAAAACTCCTTAACTTTCTGCAGTCTTATTGCAGCGTAAAAACAGCGCCTTCATTTTACAATCTCATCTTTGCGAATACAGTATGTTTGACACTGTCACAGAGTTGAGAGGATGCCAGCAACTTGTATACGCTTTAGTTTTAATGGCATTTGAAGTGTCCACTCACTCCTGATATGTTCTGACTGCTACCCTTTCGCAGTAGCGGCACTGGCCGAGTGCCCACCTTGGCCTTGGGCATCTGTCATATTTGGGCCTTGACTTTTTGTCTGGTACCAAGTTAATGTAGCTTCTCGACCGTTGATTCGGGAAAGGCAAGCCCAGTGAGCTGCAAAAAATAACATTTGGTTTGCATGAGCCGGGGAGTTTACAGATAACTGGCTAATTGTGGACTATAAAATCGATGTAAATGGATTCATACATTACATATGTGAATATATCCCATACTAGCATAATAACGTGCAATGATTATTGAGTTTAAAGGGAGTTTTGATCATCCGAGTACCAACAGTTTTTGAAAAGTTGGCACAAGAGTACCAGGAAGAACTTTTTTAATTAACAGGTAATACTTACATATCACTGGAGACTGGGAGGGTGAGGATGTTGATTTAACGCCTTACGATCACAGGATCAAATAAGGTGATATTCCTCATTCGTTCTGCTAATCAACAGTAGTAGGATTGGTGATGCTGGCATGGTATCTGACCCTGAA